CCGGGCTCATGGACAACTCGCGGTCGGGTTCATCGACCTTGCTGCGAGCTTGAAGTAGTACGTCTGGCTCCAAGCCCCCCAGCAGTTCCTTGGCGGCAGCGACCTTGCTCATAAGTGTGTTCAACTTGTCCAGAGTCGTGACTCCCGGCATGTCCTTGAGGGCGACATCGAGACGAGCCATCACGGTTGCTGTGGTATCCCCCAGGTTGGAGGTTTCATCGCCTTGACCACCATTCACCGCAGGTCCTAGGTCATATCCAGCTGAGGACATTGCGTTCACTTCTATCTGTGTGTCAGTTTCGTCGCTTCACTTCGTGGTTACAAGAAAGACTTACGAGTAAGAGTTGGGTATTGGGAATTGGGTATGATTAGAGAGGAGCAATGGAAAACGATCGTGTGGTATCAATCGGAGGAGGCGCTAAAGAGTAGTTGTGGGACGAGGACAGTGCTCTTTGCGGTGCTGTAACGGGAGCCTGTCGCGTTTGCAGTGACGTAGTGGTATCGAAATGAAGGTCTGGAGTCGGCCCAAACCCATGTGACTGCCTATAGTCTGTCGACGTTCAGATTCACGATGGGGCGCTTATACACGTCTTAGTCTCGTACTGGAAAGCCGGATGGCTCCGATGCGTTCGAATCTCTCCCCATTCTAGTTCCTCTTGCATCCTGCCTGACACGCCATATTTCTTTGAACGTAAGCCTGTAGCCTAAACCATGCAGGGAAGACTTGGGCTGTGTGACCACGCAAATTCACCATTCACTATCTTTTGCGACCGTAATCAGAGCTTCGGCTGGTCCAAGCGTCAGTCTAGCGCCCCTCCACGTCCTTTCGAATAACACCTTCCACTTTGTTTACTTTTCTTCCTCTTCAGTCGCACTCACATCCGCAAGATGCGTGCGACTCGCAACCTTCGGCGTTCTAGCCTGCGCCGGCCGCTGCCGCTGATCGACTGTAACTCTCAACCTTCGATCTTCTTTATGAAGGTAAGTTCTGGAGATGTCGCTTCAACCCTGTGATATCCAGCTGACTTGATACTTACAGATCGCCGGGTTCTGGTGCACTCGCATGCGCACAACTTTCACGGAACCGAGAGTACAAGTCGACAGACGAACGCGGCTGAGTGAACCCGACAGGTTTGCTGGACCCCAACAACGGCTGTAGTCTTATAGGCTGTGGTTTACGCTACAGTTGGCTGGCCCTTAGCCTTTATGGATTCGGGTTCGGCAGGGTCTATGCTAAGTCAAAGAGAGTGATGGCCTCTTTGACCAGATAGATTGGGGCTATAGTAGGTTCGCAAGTTCACTACCGCTGGCCCCGACGGCTTACCACCACTGAGGTGAGACGCTCTGGCAGATAGTGGGTCTGTCGTCAGGTTCAGTTATGGACAGTCACTGCTCGTATGTCAGGTACAATCGTTGGATAGACAGGATCAGCAACCGCGGCTGCCTTCTTCGTGGTCCTGTTTCAGGTCACAACAATGGTGGTTCGATTCCATCCCACGTGTACCCGCCGCCGGTGTTACCCTTCTCAGGGAAACGTGTGCGGAAGATATCTGCGATAAGAAGACTTGCGGAACTTCTGATAGGTCAAATGACCCACGATACATGACATTCGGGTAGCTGGCTCCCATATCGACGACAAAGAGACAAGAGATCAGCGGCGGTCGTAAAAAGCCTAAGCTGTTCTTCTGTTTCTCGAACCACGGCACTTGGAGAGGGGCCCATGTGCCACTTTTTGGACTCTCCAAGACCGCCAACCATCGGTGGTCGTACGCCTCCGCCGGTGGAAAATCCTATGTCACCATAGGTAAACTTGGTGGATGTTTGTGCTATCGTTGTGCAGGCCAACGTAGTGACAGCAACACCGCCATTGTCCTGAGGTCGGTCTTTTGCACGATGTTAGTCCAGTGCAGACCCAATACCCGAAGAGGTCGGTTCTCTGCCAAGGTCTCGACTCGCGTAGAGATACATACCCAGACTCAGGACTATTACTCGCGGGGCCCGGTGGATGAACATCAGGTACGTACCCCTTCCTAACTTAGCACCCCTTTGGTATCGTCTTCACCGAGCGTAGAAAAGTCCTGACCGCGGAGCATCTTCACGGATGTCTCGAGGGCCGGACGAGATCTCAACATCTCACTTTGGGCAAGTGTCGAGAGTGCTCGCACTTCCAAGATCAAGTGGCAAGCCATGCGACGCAAGTCGTCTTCATTGGGCATGTCCATACTGCGATTCAACTCGCAGTATCTTTTTCATTGAGTCATCCGCCTTTACGGCGGGTCTCGAGGAAGGAGAGAGAGAAAGAAGAACACCAGCACCATCGTTTCGTACCTAAAGAAGCCAGAGGTTAAACTGACTCCAGGAGTGCTTTGTTGCTAAATCGGGGTGTGGTGTGAGGTCGCCATACCCCTCGGGGGGGTTGGGCAAGATGACGTTTACATCCAAAATAACGCTAGCCTGTTCAAGCCTCACACCTTGGCAACTACCCTTCCTTCCGAGCACATGGGAGCACACACGATGCATGCGCGATACGATTGATTTTGTCATCTACATCTCATCTAGAACCAAGCTATCCCAAAGCCACCCTCTCCACTGCGTCGTCCTCGTGACCTTGATGTCCAGTCGATTGCTTCCCTCCCCCTTCAACGCGCCTTCCGCGATCGGAATCTCCAGCAATCTCCACTCGCCCGCCCGTGTCGCACCACGATACGTATCCTGACTATTCAAAAGACTGGCGCTGGTGATGTTGCCGACCTTGACGTCGTTGAGCAGGATATCGCAGCTCGAGCCCTGAGAGAAGCCCGCCAGCGAGACCGTCAACTTAGCGGCGGAGATGCTCTTGGAAGGGAAGAGAACAGACCAGGTGCCAAGCGCAGATTGACCGAAACACCAGTCAAGAGGAGAGCTGGTGCCGACGGTGTAGGTCAGGTTTGCGGGACACTTGGAAATGCGAGCGTGTTCGAATGGGTGGGCTGGGTCCGCGAGCTTGAAGCCGTCGCTTGTGCGGTCGAAGTCGCCGATTTGGAAGATGCGCTTCGCGCTGTCGGTGACTTTCCATGTCATCTCCTTGAGGTTCGTGTTCTTGCCCTCGCGGATCACGACGTCGTTCTGGGTAAAGTTTGTTGTGACATCGCCGATTGCGCCGCCGTTGCCCCAGGCATACAGCGCGTAGGTGCCAGTGCGGATGTCGTGGATGTCGAATTTGCCGTCCTCGTCGGCGTATGTGGTGTAGTAGTAGTTCTGGCCTTGGTCGAGCGTGGATACTGTGGTGTTGCGGTTGTCTCCAAGGAACACGGCAGCGCCAGCAGCTGGGCGTCCGTCGCTTAAGAGGAGCTTGCCTTGCATCTTACCGCGGGACTGGTAGGGCTTGTTGTCAAACCACTTATACGGCCAGGCTGCTTCCTCCTTCTCCCAGCGGGCTGCCGCGTCGTCTTTGCTGCCATCGTTGAGGTACCAGAGCCATGGACCCCAGATCTTGCCATCAGCAAACGAATCGCGCGCAATGGCCTGGTAATGTGTGCCGTGAATCATGTTCAGCTGCACTGCATCGCCCGTCTGGGACTCGCGATGGACCTTTGAGAGGTTAGTATCAAACCGCATAGCAGCGAGGCGACCGGATCGAACATACCATGAGCTCCTGCTTGAGATGATCGCCGTTGTAGTAGTCCTTCCCAGGATTGAGGTACCAACTCCCCACTTCGTCTCCATAAACACCGTAGTATTCTTGGTCTCGAACAAACCCGCTCCAGTCATACTTTGTCAAGAATGACCCGTCAGCCTTTTGCCAGGTTTCATCCTGGACGTTGGTAGCTTGACGGTATTCTTCCAATGCGGGAAGCGCACCATCTTTGACGTTGTTGTGACCACGTGGAAACGAGGTGTTGTCGAGACGCCACAAGGTACGGAACTCGCCCAGCGTAGGCAAGTCGTGATTGACAAAGTACTGGTATGCGCCTGGTAGGTCATCGTAGATCACCCAATGAAAGTCGCCCTCCTTCGCCGTAAACTTGACGTTGATGTAATCGGTGTCTGAGTCGACAATCGCGGCGGACGTCCAGTTCAAATCAGATGCCGCTCCGTCTACAAGTTGTTAGCTGTGTTGTGACTCCCTGGCCGCAGCACCTTTTCATACATACTGTAACTAACATAGTGTCCAACAGCATCTCCAACGCGGTCCTTGCCCTTGTACCACAACTTATCGGCATACTGGCGATTTTGCGTAACATTCCAGATTTCATTGCCGATAATCCAAGTCGAGTTTCCAAGCTCTTTCAAAAAGCTCTTGGGCTTCTTTGCGCGCTCCTCTACTGGAGCAGCCGCAGCGAGCGCAGCAAGGCCGAGGAACTTGAGGGCACTCATGATGATCACGTCGATGCGAAAGTGTGCTCGGCGAGGATAAATTTGAAGCCATAGTAGCTCTGGTCATTATATACCGCTGCAAGCATACACGTCGCTCGAAGAAAGCTAACGTGCCTCTCGGCGGAGATGCCCCGAAGTTATTACCGGGTAAGCACTGGGGTCGCGGGGTACCTGGAGCAACCCCGGACAATTTGATCGACAAGAACATTGTTCCGGAACTTCCTGCAATCGCGCTTCTTCGTTGCCCAGTAGCGCGTTCTTGGGGCGGTGTTTGCCCGCGCGTGTGTCCTGGATTTGGGAAGGCGTTCGTGGTGACACGGGTGAGGCTCCCTGCAAAACGTGGTCAACCGCCACAGCGTTGGGCGAAGAAGCACCGAACGCGTCTTGAGAGCGTTAGACAGACTTGTAATCATTATCACGAGGTACCAGCAACCGGGTCGATGCTCGCGGTGATGTGCAAGAGTTCAGGAGGTGGCCGAGGGAAGCACCGAGCGGGACGCTTGCCTGTTGTGGCCTGGAACAACTGCTACTAATCAGCATTACATGGAAAATCTGTGCTCTCCAGAGAACATTCCATTCTTGCGCGAGGTACAGGACACTCTAATGAAGGCTCCACCGTATGTGTGGGTGTCTGCCAACTTCATCTACGATTTCTCTTCCAACGCCTTCGCATCAGCCTCCTTAGGTGTTTGCGTGCCTGGCGCAGCTGTCTTCTCACCTTCCACCACCTCAACATGATCCCCGCGACGACGGCCCTTGCCAGTGATGTCGCGCCACATACCACCGAAGTTCCTGGCTAAACTCTCACGGCCTTCCCATAGAGGATATACACCAACAGCCATAGTACTGCACATCAGCCAGATGATGCCAACGACGACCCATCCTGAGAAGAACGACTGACTGAAGATGTAGCCGGAACCGTAGAGAGGCATTGGCCAAAGTACGAGAAGAACGAGTGTCAGCGTCGCGGTGGTGATCTTTGCAATCTTGGAGGCGCGGAACAGCTTGGCTTGTTCGGCGGCTTCGGCTTCTGGGGAGAGGGCAGCATGGCGGCCGTGCACGGCTTCAATGTCCATGTGCGCAGCTGCTGTGACATCCGAATCGTCCACAAGGCGAATGTTCTTCATTGACACCCAGTCGTAGTTGTCAACTCCGAAGATCAGGGTCAGGACCGGGATGAAGATGACGGGTGAGAGCAACGCGACCACGTTACCAGCCAACATTGGGTTGTTGGCGCCAGAAGTAGCGACAGTGATCACGCCGTCGTTCAGCTTGGAGGTGGTGACGAGCCAGGCGGTGATGCTGCAGCAAAGACCCAACACTGGCGACAAAGTAGCCGCCCATTTGTTCTGACCCTTCCACATCAATGTGAGGGTGGCTGGAAGCACCGCAGACGAAATGATTACGCCCATGAAGACGTACAGCCAGCCCATGCTGATACCTGCGTACCAAAGTCCAGTCGAGAACGCAGCCATGACGAGTCCAAACCCACATACGCAGACGTGCGAGGTGTAGACGAGACGTCGACCACTTGCACTGGGGTTGATGTAGGTTGCGTAGATGTCGTATGTCAAGATGCTGGAGACAGCAATGAGCTGCGCCGAGAAAGCTGAAGTGACGGCCATGAACACGACTAGTAGAGTAGCCACTGCACCGCCAGATCCGAGGAGCGCCACAGCAGCATATGGAAGGGTGAGGCCCGCGCTGATAGAGGCTTCATCCATGCCGTTGGGATAGGTAGGGAAGTACTCCGTGCTCTGCAGTGCCAGAGCGGCGAGGCCCATAGTGGTTGCGCAAAGCCACTGACGACGAGATCAGACGTGATTCGGGATGCTCATGGAAGGAGTACTTACAGGGATAGCGAACCAGGAAAGACCTCCGATGATGTATCCAGGAAGAGCATGAACTGGGGATGCAGCAATAGCCTTGTTGTAGTCTGCCTCTAGTCAGTTTCCGATACCATTTCATGTAGAGGAACACTCACATCCGTTATCCATGAAGACAGTTCCAAAGTTTCCAATGATGTTGATGACGAAGAAGATGGCACCATCTTTGCTCCTCATTGTAAGATAGCTTCCGCCAGCGTTGCCGGGAACGGGGGTGGTTGCCGAAAGTTCCTGCAGACGATCGTACACTGCTTTGGGCGAGCCGAGCCGGTCACCCGTGGCATAAGTCGTGAATGCGAAAGTAAGAAGGATGATGAGGAGGATAACGGTGTGAACGTAATCTGTGAGAAACGTGGCCTTGATACCACCAAACATGGTGTAGACTACGACACCCAGGGGAAGTAGGAAACAGGCTGCGGCTGTAGGCACACCGGTCAAAGAGCTGATGACGGCAGATCCGCCAGTCAACAACATGGCTGTAACGAGAATGTTGGTGAAGAGGCCGAAGGTGATGTAGACAAAATGCGTAGCCTTTCCATAGCGAGCACGCACAGCTTCGAGGAACGTCTATGGAGTGGTCAGTTCTAGCTTCGCCGATAGCGAGAAGCTGTTCCACTCACATGAGCGTTAGGGGCTCGCCTCTTGAGTTCGATCGCAACGGTCGCAAAGAGCAGGATCTGTACGGTAGCACCAGCGGCATACCAGAGTGGTCCAGAAACACCTAAAGACGATCAGATCTCTGACTTTCTGTAATGTAGTGTCGAAACGTACCGTAGCGGAACGCGACCGAAGAACTCTGCAACAGGGTAGCTGCCCAAGTCCACGAAGACACTACTGCTGAAGCTACCAAACCAGACTTGACAGTACGACCGGCAGTTGAGAACATCTCTGAAGTTTGCACCTCATTGTTGTAGCGCTTGAGAACCCAAGTGGTGAAGACCTTTAGGTTGTCAGATCGTTGCGCTTGTAGCATTCATGTATACATACCATGCCAAGGGCGAAGAGAAAGCCAACACCAAGCACGATGCCATAGCCCCAACCCTGGCCAAGGGGAGAAGCAGAAGGGCCAACAGGAGTACCGCCGCCAGCCATGTCGAGAGATGTAGCTTGGTTCAATGTCAAGCTTCAAAGCGTTGGCTGTCGAACCAGTCCAGCGGGGCAGACGAGGTATCTATACCCCAATGCATCCCCACGATTACCGTTTCCCGGCTTCAGCTCGGTCCCAAGACTGCTATCTCGAGCCTTTCAACCGCACACAACCATCTTGTCGATTGGCAATCGGGCCGGCACATGATTGGTTGAAGATAGGCGCATGTCAAGACTAGGTAACGTGCAACGACGGCCAAGACTAGAAACCTCTCGTCTTCTACGCAATTTTGAAGCTTATATTAGCAATGAGGTCTTGTTGTAGGGCACTTTCAGCTCTTAGCCGACTGGGCATTGCATGATCGCTCGCCTATGCTGATAACGAACGGCCTTGCAACGGAGGTGCATCGCGCTTGCCTCGTAGTGGCGGGCAGGACCGAATGGCTCAGCGGAAATTTTCATGCTGAGCCCTGAGTGGCTGAGATCTGTGACTTTTTGCTTGGACAGACTGAACGAGGTCTGGGCGTGGAGATGGTGGGCATGTTGGAGGCAGGTTGGGGTTGGTGGTTTCGATGAGGTAAACAGGAGAGTGAAGATAAGCGATGGTGTGGTAACCAATGAGGACGCGCTGGCGGTGGAGTCCGAAGTCGGCTTGCATCAGAGGACCCCTGTGACCCGGCTTTCTCCACGGTAATGATCGACTTGCATCTTCGCAATGTTGTCGTTACTCGATACCTTCGACACATACCTGCGTGTTTCTCTCGAGAGTGTTTTACAACTGCATTCTGGTCGTCCGCGCACGTTCGCGCGATCATAGCTTTGAGTCCGGCTTCCACGGGCCCTCGTTCCGCCATCCTCTGCCGCCATATTCTACCGCTCAACACGAACAATTTCGTGAGGACAGTATGGATCTACTCTAGCTCTCACTGGGAGATTAGATGGTACCTGTGAGCGAGTAGAAGTGGAAAGCTCACCTTTAGGTGTATAGTATAGGAGTGGTTAGAATCGTTGATCCAAAGCAGCGGAACAATATAATACGGAGGATATTCTATCGGAACATTGCGCCCCGCGACTGCGACGAACGTTTTGCGAAACCTACGAGACGGTTCGTTGTCTAATGTACAAGGAGTTTCTGTTGGCGTCGCGCTATGGAGAAGCAACTCGTTGTTGGTGCTTCATTGGGCTTATTCATGGTTGCACGAGGCTGTCGTACTTGGAAAGGCCTTTTGCCCAAGACTGAGCGTTTAAAATCTAGGTAAGGCTTCTCTTCGCATTAGTGCTGGTAGCTGTCGACATATCTTTGCAACATCATTTCCAAGAAAGATGTTCCAGTGCACATTATGAGTCTTTGAATACAGAGTAAGTAACATCTCGTACTTGTTGCGCGTGGTGAGGAGTGAGTGACCCGACTCACGGCTTGATTGGCGTGTCCATTCGGCATCGTACGACGACCATGAGCAACTACCCCGGCCTCTTTCCCAATCAGGAAGACAGTCAGCGGGAGCTTCGGATGTCACATACATACATTCAGAAGTCTTGAGCTCTTTTTCTTCTTTTCGTTTACAGCCTACCTCCAGCATCATGCTTTTCATCTTGATACTCGCGGCTGCACTCGGTGCCATCGCGCACACCGTCCCAAACGGATGTCCGCGCAAGGTGGGTGCGGAAGGCGTACGGGTTCGCATACCTCCAACGTTCAATACCACCGATTATGCCCATCACGGCAGATCATGGCAACCACCACCTGTCGGGTTCTACTTCCAACCATGGTCGATGATTCTCGCATCAAACCCTCAGTATGCGGCGATGCGGAACGTACAATACGACCCGACACCGATCGATCCCTCTGAGCCCACTGGGCTTGTAAATGACCTCTTCTCATTCCAATTCCCAGGCAATGACACAATCATTACAACATATGGCGTCGATACACCGCATCCCAGCTTGCCCGCAGTGCTAGACTTTGCAGGGACTGGAATTTTGGTCGGAGCCACGTGCCAATACAGCATCTTGGTTTGGGGCTGCGACGCGAACAGAGTCCCATACTACGCGAGCTATTCGACGGCAGTGGAGTTCACCCAAACGCCCCCGGGTATCGACCTGATGAGTACAAGTGATCAAGGACCTGATCAGGAAACGATCGATGCTGTTTTGAAGGCGTTGAAGAAGCTGGGAAACGAGGAGATCACCAAGTATGTTGTAGCTCTAGAGAGGATGGTGCAGGATGGCGGCAGAAGAGGCATGCCCAGGGTAAGTGTTTGTGTGCTCTTTGCTGGCACCTACTAACGAAATACTTTAGGCTACATGCGACGAGTATTGCAAGACGAATCAAGGCTTGATCGGGATCGAAGGCTGAACGTTGTGGAATTGAGTTGACGAGGTCGTGTTCGAATGCCCTTGCTGCAACGGATGACTGCTTATGCTGTGTCTGGGCTTCGAACGGGCGCATTCCTATAGTCGAGGATCTACGAGAAGATGTATGTAGTGCTGTAGAATGACGATGTAGAGGTTCTGGACATTTGATCCTGCAGTATGTTGCTTGGTGTTACCGGTGTCGTGTGCCTGCCGTTCAGTCCCAGTCGCGTGTGTGGAAGTCGCGACCGACGCAGGGCATCAGCGTTCAGCAGTCGCTCCTCCGCTGTGGGTCGCGCCAAGGCCGCCCGGCAGTAGCGCCAAAAAAGTTCAGAACTGGTAGATGCAGGCAGCGCAAACCTCGACGAACACCGACGCGACCACGTTTCGTAGATTCGAATCAAACTCCGACACGATGGCGAAGCGCAAACTCAACGCACACGACGTGCCAGAGGTGACATCGAGCGATGAGTCGCAATCCGAGCCCCGCAGCTCGCCCGAGCCCGCGACATCCACCACAATTGCGCCTGCGATTGCAACCGCTGCCACACCGAAGAAGAAGAAGAGCTCTAAGTCAAAACCTGCCGCTGAGCCAGTCCCTATAGTCGCCTCATTCGCCGAACTTCAACTCGAGCCCCGTCTTCTAAGAGCGATCCGCGACCTAAAATGGGCATCACCAACGGCAGTACAGTCCCAAGGCATACCGTTGATACTGGAGGGACGCGACGTCCTTGCGCGTTCGGGGACAGGTACTGGAAAGACGGGAGCCTACCTTCTCCCCATCCTCCATAAGACGTTGCAACAGAAAGGCCAATCGCTCATCCTGGCGCCCACTAAGGAACTCTGCTCACAAATCGCGACAGTCGCGAAATCGCTCTCACAACACTGTGGACAATCGATTCGGGTCCGCAACATCGCTGGCAAGGAATCGGATGTCGTCATCAAGGCAGCACTCGCGGACAAACCAGAGATCGTCGTCGCAACACCAGCGAGGGCATGGGCAAACATCAACAGCTCTGCCATGGCAGTCAGCGACATCAAGACGCTTGTCGTAGACGAGGGTGATCTGATCAACGGTTACGGGTTCGCAGACGACATGGAGAACATCGCCCGGGAGATTCCTGTTGGAGTCCAGAAGATCGTCCTTTCAGCCACCCTCTCAACTGACGTTGAGTCACTCGGCAGCCTGCTCTGCACAGATCCAGTTGTACTGAAGCTACAAGACCTCGACAAGGACTCGCAGAAGGTCAAGCAATACGTTCTGAAGGTGGCGGAGGACGATAAGTTTCTGCTGCTTTTCGCCATGATGAAACTCAATCTGGTCCATGGAAAGAGGTAAGAAGCGCCGGCATGAACTACATTTGAGACAACGCTGACTTCGTATCTCCAGTATCGTCTTCGTTGGCGACGTCGACCGATCATACCGCGTCAAACTCTTCCTCGAGCAATTCGGCATCAAGGCGATCGTACTCAACTCCGAACTGCCACTGGCGTCCCGAACACACATTGTGGAGGAGTTTAACAAAGATCTCTATAAGATCCTCATTGCTTCGGACGAAACCGACGTCGTTGGCGTGCAAGACGAGTCGCGACCAAAGAAGAAAGCGAAGAAGGACAAGGAGACCGACTCCGGCGTCTCTCGCGGCATCGACTTCCTGAACGTCAGCTGTATAATCAACTTCGACTTCCCCGGGAACTACAAATCGTACTTCCATCGAATTGGACGAACAGCACGAGCCGGCAAGTCTGGCACGGCCATTTCGTTCATCATCCCGAAGGAGAAATACCGCAAGCATAAGCCGACTACATTTGCGGGATGTGAACACGATGAAGAAGTTCTCAAGAAGGTTGAGCAGCACCAAGAAGAGGGCCAAAAGCTGGAGGATTACCAATTCGACATGAAACGATTAGAGCCATTCCGATACCGGTTCGCAGATGCCCTGAAGTCGGTGACCAGGATCGCCATCCGCGAGGCACGTATCAAGGAAATCCACATGGAGCTGGCCAAGTCGCAGAAGCTGTCCCGATACGTAAGTTCGCCCGCATCATTCATTGCTGGCTCATCCTAACATCGTAACAGTTTGAAGAGAACCCTGAAGCGCTCGCGCATCTCCGCCACGACCAGACTCTCAACCATCCCGCGAGGATACAACCCCACTTGCGGCACATTCCCGATTATCTCCTACCAGGTGGGAAGAAGCCGCAGGATGTTGGCTTTGTCGGCCTGAACATACCACGGGCGAAGAAGCAATATACCAAGGGCAAGGGCAGGAAAGTGGTACGAAGGAATGGCAAGGTCGATCCTTTGAAGACATTCAATGCGAGGGGTAAAGGAAGGAAATGAGGCATTACGTCCTCGACCAGCTCTCTCTGAATGTCAGTCGTAGACTTGCACCAGATCTATGACAAAACACATCAGCGAGCTTTCTTTCCAACGATCGTGCCATTTATAACTCAGCCAGTCGTGTCCATGTGTTCATCGCTCAGTACTTCTCATCTCATCTGCGAATATTATGATGGAAAGACCCAGCAAGATGCTACTTAGGTAGGGCCAAAGGTTTGGGCAAGTGGTCAGACTTCTGCTCGGAGCTTGGATCTTTGTTGCTTTTGTGGTGCACTTGGGCAAAGCTACAATTAAATTTCGTGTCAATCGT